CACAAACACACACATGCATACAAACACACACAAGCACACACATACACACATACATATACATACAAACAGACAAACACACATACACACAAATATACAAACACAAATGCAAACATACACACAAACACACACATGCACACACATGCACACAAACATACACACAAACATACACACAAACACACACAAAAACACACATGCACACAAACACACATAAAAAAAGCACATGCACACATGCACACACATGCACACAAAAACACATATGCACACAAAAACACACATGTACACAAAAACACACATACACACAAAAACACACATGCACACAAAAACACACATGCACACAAAAACACACATTCATACAAACACACACACAAATAAACAAACAAATAAACACAAACACACGCAAACACATACACATACACACAAACACACACAAAGATATATATACACACAAAGATATATATACACACAAAGATATATACACACACAAAGATATATATACACACAAAGATATATATACACACAAAGATATATATACACACAAAGATATATATACACACAAAGATATATATACACACAAAGATATATATACACACAAAGATATATATACACACAAAGATATATTTACACACAAAGATATATATAGACACAAAGATATATATAGACACAAAGATATATATACACACAAAGATATATATACACACAAAGATATATATGCACACAAACACATACACACACAAACACATACACACACAAACACATACACACACAAACACATACACACACAAACACATACACACACAAACACATACACACACAAACACATACACACACAAACACATACACACACAAACACACACACACTCAAACACACACACACTCAAACACACACACACTCAAACACACACACACTCAAACACACACACACTCAAACACACACACACTCAAACACACACACACTCAAACACACACACACTCAAACACACACACACTCAAACACACACACACACACACACACACACACACACACACACACACACACACACACACACACACACACACACACACACACACACACACACACCCCAATATCTCTGCTGAGATGAGTGCGACATGCTGATTTTGTTTTCATTGGATGCCCCGTTCTGTAGATGGCTGACATGTGACTAAGCTCCTTCCCATGCGCTGTGTCCCATTTATTATTCTCTGTCATGTGCCCAGGGGATTAACATCTCCCCAAAGCTCTCCTCTCCTCCTCCCTTTCCCTCTCCCTTCCCCTATCCCTCTCCCCTCTCCTTCTCCTCTCCCCTTGCCTTCCCTTCCCTGCCCTTCCCTTCCCTTCCCCCTCTCCCCTTCCCTTCTCCTCTCCTCCTCCCTTCCCTTCTCCTCCTCCCTTCCCTTCTCCTCTCCTCCTCCCTTCCCTTCTCCTCCTCCCTTCCCTTCTCCTCCTCCCTTCCCTTCCCCTCCTCCCTTCCCTTCCCTTCTCTTCTCCTCCTCCCTTCCCTTCCCCTCTCCCCTTCCTCTCCCCTCTCCCCTTCCTCTTCCCTCTCCACCTTCCCTTCTCCTCCTACCTTCCCTTCTCCTCCTCCCTTCCCTTCCCCTCTCCCCTGCCCTACCCCTCTCCCCTCCCCTACCCCTCTCCCCTCCCCTCCCCTACCCCTCTCCCCTTCCCTTCCCCTCTCTGCTTCCCATCCCCTCTCCCCTCTCTTACCCCTCTCCCCTCCCCTACCCCTCTCCCCTCCCCTACCCCTCTCCCCTCTCTTACCCCTCTCCCCTTCCCGTAATCTGTCATTTTCTTTTACATCTGCCGTTTATTTACGTTTTTTTGGTACGTTTTTCCCCCCCCCCTTTGTTTGGGCCAGGCTCGTGCGTCTGTCCCGTTCATGCACACACACTCAAGGTTCAGGCACAAGAAAGCCAACAGGAAGAGAGCCGCTGGTCAGTGATCCTTGGCAGGCCTGAATAACAAGGAGGAGGGTAAGGGTGGGGGTGGGGGGGTAGAATGACTTGGCAGAAATTGAAAGAGTTTGTGTACATGTGTGTGTGTGTGTGTCTGTGTGTGCGTGCGTCTGTGTGTGCGTGCGTGCATGTGTGACCTTGATACAGAAGGAGGAGAGGGAGATGGTGGGTGATTAGGTGGGGGTGTGGTGGGGGGGGGTAATAGAAGATCCTTGCTATGGTGTCGGTAGGGCCTTGAGGGAAATGTTGTCAGATGTAATCCGAGCTCTGTTGAGGGGATGCTGGGGGAATGAGGGCTAAGGGAAGTTAAGTGGGGTGATTTTCTCTCTCTCTCTCTCTCTCTCTCTCTCTCTCTCTCTCTCTCTCTCTCTCTCTTCTCTTTCTCTTCTCTTTCTCTTTCTCTCTTCTCTTTCTCTCTCTCTCTCTCTCTCTCTCTCTCTCTCTCTCTCTCTCTCTCTCTCTCTCTCTCTCTCTCTCTCTCTCTCTCTCTCTCTCTCTCTCTCTCTCTCTCTCTCTCTCTTCTCTCTCTCTCTCTCTCTCTCTCTCT